TGTATGATAGAATGCGAAAATTGTAAGCTGACGGAAAGCTAGTATGCCTGTCGCTAAAGACCTAGTTGGGCTCCTATTATTCCCAAATTTGCACACCCTGGGCAGGATGTGATCGCGAAACCCCTTTGGTAGAGATAGGATAAGCCGACTGCCAGATTGTAATGGAAATGTATTCATACTGGTGTCCCGCTATTCGCTTAATATCCGCAGATTTATTAGCAATACTTACAAAGTACGCTACCCGATCCAGGTATATGCCAATCTTTTATAAGTCTTGAACATTCTCCCTTCATAGGCTTAGAAAGGTAAGTGTGAAATCTTCCTTGGAGAGCATACATGTCTTGTTTGACGTTCGATCGTCCTTGCGGACTATGTCCACCGTGTGCCTGCGAAAACGGAAAGGTGACTTGCGCGTGAATTAATAGTGGGCTTGCACTGCATATACTTCACTCTTTCCTCCTCCCCGATTGGGACGGATGTTATGACAGAGTCAAAAACACCAGAGGCGGTCACAGGTAACTGACACGGCGTGAGTCTGCAACAAGAGAGGGGCGGCTCGGACCCCTACTGAGTGGGAGTGACATTGAGGTCACACAACGCGGGAACCATCGCAGTCTGACTCTCGGTCCGCCAGTCGGCCGCTTCACACAATCACACGCACTGGGCTGACCGCGCGATCCGAGTTATTCCGTCAGTCGGCCGCCTTGAAAACCAGGGCTTCTAACGCACTGTTATAATATCAAGTACCGTTTCAGATTGTTTACAGTAAGGAAGGGGCGTGCTGAACCGTCAACCTCATTTACTCTCCAAGCTGTCCAATCAGCTGATGCTGAAAGGTGACTGACAGAACTAAATACAGTCGGTGTACGCGAACCACACACATGACCTGACCCGCCCCACTCACGACACACCACAAATTCACACAAGGGAAGGGTTGACTGGTCTGATCTCAGAGGTAGCAGAGGACCTCATGGGGGGAACGCTGTCTCGTTTAGTCTGGAAGCCTCATGTCTTGCTTTTTACTGACTGTCGGTCTGTGGTATTGTCAGTTTTTGTGTCCTTGTGGAACATTCCGCCTGAGACTACTTTGTTAATCTTTACGGGATAAATAGTACAAAGTTGAAATTGCCTCCGAAGTAGGCAGACCTTGCTGACTACTTGTCGTTTACAAACAGTTTAACTGCCAAAAATATGTCCGCCGTCAGCCAATCACACCCAACCCTAGGTGGTGCACCACCCGAGGCTCGAACTCGCTACCTTTTTAATCAGAATCTAATGTCCTAATCATTGAGCCACGAGCTCGTTGTCTAGCCGGTTTAGGTCGGAAGATATTGACACTCGTTGATGAACTTTTACCGACCATTAACAGATATCACTTTTCCTTCTCCTTATTTTGCATTGGGCCTCATTTCTCCGGCTTTGGCAGCAGCTGTAGCAGCTTGTAGTATGGGTAGGTAGTTCGCCAGCAAAAACAAGGGAGACTGGAATGTGGCCATTTCCGGCTCAATAACCGTCATCAGCCAGTCATACCCTACCCCCAAATGGTGCCCACTATTATGACCTGCCGCACCACTTTATCTCCGATTAACTGGAATCGAACTTAATAACGAAGTACCAGGAGGAGTAATTTGCCAACTGATGGGGCAACTCGGTCTTTGAACTAACGGTCACTCCTTAATGAGTTAATTCACTTCGATTTTTGTTTTCTGCATCCTATCCAGCCAACGTATGCACTGTCTATCTTCAGTCTTTATTCCTGTCTATTGTCTATGCTGTTAGCATCCGAAGTTTACTCTCTGTTTTCAAAGGCTTATCGGCTTTATTACTATTGCTTTCCCCACCTAATACGTTCTTGCGGCGGGAACTAGTTCATTCGCAGGGGCTGTAAGGAGTATTTTA